ACACACACACACACACACACACACACACACACACACACACACACACACACACACACAATACGTGCATTCACGAACACTCGTAGACTGTTTTGGGACCATAGGTTGGACTGATCTTGAGCAGGTCAAGCAATGAAAGGGTTAATCCTCATCCCTCTTCTCTCTGGTTCTCTCACTTCCACAGATGAAGTTTAAAAACCAGCTTTTAGCACTATGCAAACACACGACACTTAAGTACGGGCCTTTGTATCCCCCCTCCACTTCTCCCCTCACCCCTCCCCCCCCCCTTCCTAACCCAGAATAAAGGATGGAATTGTTCTCTTTCTCCCTCGCCTCCCCTCCCCCTCTCGCCTCCCCTCCTCCTGTATTATATCAAACCCTCTACACTGACCTGGACAAGTTCCAAGGGATCTTCCCCTGCTTGAGCCGGAACTCCTTGACCGTCTCCGTGTGGCTGTACTTCATGTACACACGGTCGTACATCATCTGCCAGTTGCCGCTGTCCTTCTTGTCCACAAGTTTCGCCATCCACTGGTTGTGTTGAATGACAGGGGACTGACTGAAAATAACATCCTTTTTTTTTTAGTAAGAGTGTTTTACGGCACTTGCAACGCAATAAAGTCATATAAGTGCCGAAGAATAGATGTGTTACAATAGAATGGCATACACACAAAAAGAAGGAGAGATAAGAACGATAGATGTTTGATAGCAAAGTAGGAGTAAACCACACCAGAGCACCCGCCAACCATCCACAAAATAACATCCGCAGAGCAACAACAATGAAAAAAAACCTCAAACCAAATAGCATTTGTACAGCGCCTACCCCCTCTCAACAGTATGGTATATCTGCTTTGCAATCTACGTGTTATTACCTCCGAAAACGTTCGGACATTCACAAACATTCTCTGCTTCCCAGAAAGCATGGAAGCATATCAAAACAAAGCAAATCCACTTACATTTTAGGGTGTTTTTGCTCAAAAGTGCTTCAGATGAAATCATGCACAAAAGACAGTCAGTTGTCGAGAGAATACAAAAGAACAGGTGTAACCGGATGGCTGCTGGACTCGTAATTGTAATCACGAGGCCGACGGTTTGGGGGTTCGAGCCTCAACCCGACGTTGTGTCCTTAGAACAGGCACTTTACATGAATCTTCCTCATTAATATTCAAGCAATCTCGACTGATGTCCAACGGAAGAGGTCTCATGCATACAAGAAACTATACTATTTGGTATCCATCTGATAGACTAATAAAAGAGAGTCGAATGAATGCCCGAGACATGGTTTTGATTTGGGCTCACGCTTTTTCGCTAATGTCTTTGTCAGAACTTCCAAAAATGACCTCAGTTGCTTATAGAAATACTTATTTAAAAAGCCATTATATACAGACAAATGCAAGGAGGGAATGGACAGCGGCAGTTCATACAGGTGGTCGTCTTATACAGAAAAATGTCAAATACAGGTAGATGTCCTATACAGGTGGCTGTCTTATACAGGTGGTTGTCTTATACAGGTGGTTGTCTTATACAGAAAAATGTCTAATACAGGTGGCTCTCTTATACAGGTGGATGTCTTATACAGGTGGTTGTCTTATACAGGTGGATGTCTTGTCTTATACAGGTGGTTGTCTTATACAGGTGGTTGTCTTGTCTTATACAGGTGGTTGTCTTATACAGGTGGTTGTCTTATACAGGTGGTTGTCTTATACAGGAGGAGGTCTTAAACAGGTGGCTGTCTGGGGGAGGTTCCATTGTACATTAGACTTAATTTTTTTAATCTCCCTAGCTGCTACTTGTAAAAATTCATATGTGAGGCAGCGTGGTGGAATCAGGCTCTCGTCAATTTTTGGGCATGTAGAGTTATTGGTATCATCTTAAACTTGTTCACTTGTCTTTATTTGGATGAAAATAATATCCATTTATCTTGAATACAAGTCGAGATATTTGCGAATGAAGGAGGTGGGGGTCACCTGTTTTCAGAGGTAAAATAAATTAGAAAATGGCCGCCAAAGATTAGTTATTTCCTTAGCTTAAGAGTCCGTGGTAACGGAAATTTTTATTTTTTGTGACTTTAATCAACGTTTTTCAGAAAAATCCACACAGAAATGAGTTCTTTAATGGACATGAAAGGTGTTGAGCCAAAAAACAAAATTTTTATAAAAATTCACAAACCGGCGGAAAAATGCAAGTTTCTTCACTTTGATTATTTTGACGTGAGCCTGATTCCACCACGCTGCCTCACATATTATTTCTGCATTCTTGTGTTGGTTTTCTCTGTGAATACGCGAAGAGACAACCCTAAAAAAGTCTTACTACGGTGATTAGCGCAAAAAGTACCTGAATCAATTTCATAAAAGCTCCTCCCAGCGACTCGAGGTCAGAACCAGTGTGCCGGTGAGCCGCTGGCAGCAGCTCGGGCACATTCCTTTACAACAACTTTGACGTCAAATTACTTTTCGGCAAGCAATTGCCAAAAACAGGTCTCTTTTACAGGGAGTCCATTCATTAGATGAAGGAACTATCAAAATACAAATGTAGGTTCACTTGTTTCGATTAAATTACCAGTTTAGTGATGCTGTCACTTTTAGATTTCGTACAAAAAAAAAGGGCCACAGTATAGTGGGTTTACCCCCCTCGGAGATAAAGAGTTAAAGCATATTTCAGCTTAAAAATTGAAAAAACGTTTACATATCCCTACTAAGTCAACCCTTATCTGCTAATCTATGGTCAGGAAATAAGACAAAGTTAATATTCGGAAAGGAAAGTCAATTCAAAATATTTTTTAACATTTTTCTCAAAACAGCCCCTATGCTCTATCGGTACTTTTTCAATTGATCCCTTCAAGTTGCTACATGCTACCCCAGAATTACAAAGTTCTGTGTGCTCAGTATTTGACGTTAAACATTAAAAATTTTTTGAGTTTCACAACATATGAACCTTTTTCAAATGCAATTCTTTGAATATCTTGATAACGATTCCGAATAATCTTACAATTTTGATAGAGAAGAGAGAACATTTGATTTCTGACCTCAAGGTCTTAGTAAGTCAAAACGGCCAAAAATGTCAGATAGAACTTTGTAGTTCTGAGGTAGCAAAGTGTAGATTCCACATGAGAGAACAGCACTGCAGACTTACTTTCCCTCCAGAAACTTCCTCTCTTCCTCCGTGTAAGCGTCTTGCAGGAATTCCTTCAGCGGGCACGTATTGGACATCCATTCGATCAGACCCACTCTGTCAGGGAGAAAATCTCATTAAAATCTCATAATTGTCAGGCATCGTGGTGAAATCAGGTGCTCGTCAAAAACAACAGAATTGAAGACACCAACATTTTCGACCCTATGAGTAATTTTCATCAATTTATTTATTGGGTTTTTTCTTTTTTGGGTTTTTTTTTTGGGGGGGGGTTCAACACCTTTAATATCCATTTAAAAACACATTTCTGTGTATTCATTCAAAAAAATGATCAGCTGCAGGTGCATACCACTGCTACGCATAAATTAGTCATTATAGGAAGCTCCTAACTCGAGGCTTCAAATTCACATTGGCATCGCATCTGCCATATCTACAGGATTATGTCAAACACCCAAAAGTTGAGGAATATCAAGATTAGACAAGACAAGATAAGACAAGGTAAGACAAGACAAGATAAGACAAGACAAGACAAGATAAGACAAGGCAAGAAAAGATGAGATGATACTTTATATCCCAGTGAGAAATTTTTCTTTGCTGTAGAGAAATGGTAAAAACACATGTAGGTGTATATATAGAATCTAAATAAGCAAAATGGAAATGGTGATGTAGATAGAGATAACGATTTGCCTTGGTCGCATACAGTGGCAATGGTGTTACTATGGTCATTATATGCACTCACCCATGCACACAACAAACAAACACATAACATAAATGATTTATTAATCTCACTAAAATTCAAAAGGGAGAGAAGAAAAGTAAAGCTGACAACAATACACGTATCACATCAGGTGCGTCTTTCAAATTTTAACCCACATACAACAAGGATTCAACACAAGCAAAAGGAGCTGTTCAAAAATACACTCACTTGGGAGTCATGGGAATGACCTGATAGGTCTTCAGGTGCAGCTTCCTCTGCCTGCAGTTGGGGTCGGAGGTCATGACCTTGTTCATGATGTAGAAGAGGCTCTCGATCCTGTCGTCCTGCCGCAGGTCCTCTCCGCTCTTCACCAGGTACGGGTAGTCGCGCTCGTCGTTGCCGCGGACTGTGATTCTCTTCGGCTTCCGCAGCGACTTCATCACCAGCACCTGATGACACACACACACACGGCAATTGCTTGCGTATTCTCAACTCATGATGAGTACTCGAATTATTCGGAATCGGGCCACACCGACAAACTCCAGGCCATCCACAAGGAGAGGCAGAGACCAGGGAGAAGTTTTACGATCAGAGTACGACTCGACAGCGGGTCTCGAGCAATGACGATCATGCTTACCGGAAAATCAAAAGATGCGTATTTGATTGTTTTGACACGTATCTCTGCGTATTGCTGACAGTCTTGCGTACTTGAATGTGCAATTGCTTACAGGTTGGCAAGTCTGCTGAACACACACACACACACACACACACACACACACACGAGTCGCTGTCTGACAAAGCTCAAAGTCTCCCAGGTCAACAGGGCTGCCCACCAATCAGCATATCGCGACTTCGGTGCTTTCTAATCGCATCTCCATTCGTTTTTAACATTGAAAATGTGACTTCTTCCTAAGCTCACTCTTTGTTATGAAATGTTTTCATTGTTATTAAAAATGGAGATAGGACAAGAAAGCAATGAGGCCACGATATGTTTCAGTAATAAACAAATAAAAAATTGGTAATCAGGCAAAAAAAAAATAATCGTAATATGGCCATTGATCGTCTTCTTCCCTGGTGTGTCAAGAACAGGTGTTGTAGCTGAATATAAATGTAACGTTAACAAAGGCGTGATGAAAAAAAAAAAGAAGAGACGTCTTTTGGCAAGGCTCGCCATGGTCAAGTTGAGAAAAAAAGGGAAAAAAAGGGGGTGGGGTGGGGTGGGGTGGGGCTATAATTACTGCTTGCAAAAACAAAAGAAACCTTTGGGACTACAGAATGTCACAAGCCTTTGAGGACCTGCTTGTGCATCACAACACACCATGCCATGCACCCAGTGTAGCTAATTGTATCAAATGTGAGGCAGCGTGGTGGAATCAGGCTCTCGTCAAAATAGTCAAAGTGAAGAAACTTGCATTTTTCCGCAGGTTTGTGAATTTTTATCAAAGTTTTGTTTTTTGGCTCAACACCTTTCATGCCCATTAAAGAACTCATTTCTGTGTGGATTTTTCGTAAAACGCTGATTAAAGGCACAAAAAAATGTTAATTTTCAGTTACCATGGACTCTGAAGCTAAGGAAATAACTAATCTTTGGCGGCCATTTTCTCACTTATTTTACCTCTGAAAACAGGTAATCCCCACCTCCTTCATTCGCAAATATCTCGACTTGTATTCAAGATAAATGGATATTTTTTTCACCCAAATAAAGACAACTGAACAAGCTTTAAGATGACACCAATAACTCTACATGCCCAAATAATGACGAGAGCCTGATTCCACCACGTTGCCTCACAAATTGTAAACAATGATCCATATTTCAAAATGTTAATGGCCGAAAACACAGCACGACTCACCCTTTCGTCAAATCCAGAAACCCGGACGTGATACTCGGGCAGAGGCTTGTCTAGGCCCCGGTACTGACCTAAGGAAATGAAACGAATAAGTTATAAAACACTTTCAGGATTACCTTTTTACGGCATGATATAGCGTGGCATGGTGTGATTTAGAGCAGTGCAGTGCGAAGTGGTGTGGAGTGGCGTAGTATGGTGTGGTGTGCTGTCCTGTGCTGTGCAGTGGTGTGGTGTGATCTAGACTGGTATCGTATGGTGTGGTATGGTGAGGTATGGTGTGGTGTGGTGTGGTGTGGTGTGGTGTGGTGCGGTGTGGTGTGGTGTGGCATGGTGTTGTGCAGTGTGGTGCGGTATGACGTGGTGTGGTGTCATGTGGTGTGGTGTGGTGCGGTCTGGTATCGTTTGGTGTGGTGTGGTGTGATATGTGGTGTGGTGTGGTGTGGTGTGGTGTGGTGGGGTGTTGTGTGGTATGGTGTGGTGTGGAGTGATGTGGTTCGGTGCGGCGTGGCTTTAATTCTTTTCTGTCATAATTCCTTCCCCTGATTATCAAAATTTCTTTTCAACACTACTCAAATTTTTAGGGGAGACATTTTCTAAAGACACAAATCGCACATTTACACTTTTGATATCAATTTGAAGAAAATCAAATGTAGAGTGCATTCATAATATTGTTTTAGGTATTTGTCTCAGTATCTGTGATTTGGGGTGTGAGAAAGTGAAAGACTTGATTTTTAAATGTATACATTTAGTTAGCGCTCACTCGAAACAACTCATTGTCACTGTTGTCACTATAAAAACCATCAGACCTATCTTTTTTTTCGTAGAAAAAAATGAATAAAGAAATCTCCCCACTCAGTTCTAGTTTTAGTAAGAATTTTACGTCACTTGCAACACAATAAGGTCATGTATGTAGTATAGGGTTTTACGGCGCTCGCAACTGCTAAGGTCATATGAGCGCCAATAAGGTCATATAAGTGCAGAAGAACAGAAATGTTACTAGAAAGTAACAAACACAAAATAGAAGGAGGGGGAATAAAAAAGGAAAGTTTTTTGACAGGAAAGAAGGAGCAAACCACACCAGAGCACCCACTAGCCACCCACCTTTCCACTAAGGAACTGAACTCACGCTTTCTGTGTGCTATAATAAAAAGGCCTAGTCACTACCCCGCAGAGGTCAGTGAAGCACAGAGTCTACATAACAAGAGGGTCCACTCATCTCTTTGAGCCAACTAAAAAAGTGTCCTCAAAATTCGGTGGTACCGTCTTCGCAAAAGTGCACTCTTTGCGAACAGAGTTACCCTACTTGTGTTAAAAAAATCAAAGTGAAACTAACAAGTTTTTGAATAAATAAGAATTCAAATTTCAAAAGAAATATTTCTTTTAATGGTTACGCTGACAAAAAACCTCTTCCGGAGGAAGAGGTGACTGTTTTCTTCCTTTAATTTGACTTTAGAATGAAAGGCGAGAGGTCATTAAAATAAATAAAAACCCCTAAAACTCTGCACTGAACGAACCCGAACAGCTGATGAACAACAGTTGATCTGCGCACGCAAGGAGGTGCTATTCCTATTCTTCTTCTGGAGAAACGAAAGAGAGCTTCAAAACAGACTGCAGCACCATCAGAAGCAAAGAGCGGACTTCCGGCGGACACTTTTTTGGCTGAGCGGACCATCTTGTTATGTACTATCTTTCGGTGAAGTAAACGTGAGTAAATCGTCGCGACTCGGACAAACAACAACAAGAGGGCGTCTATGACCACCTGGTATTTCCAGCTCCCTGCCGTTGTGGCTGGGGTTGAACTCGGCCATCCAGGGGCAGTAATCCTTCAGGTTGGCGGCTGCTGGCTGTCTCTTGTTTTTGTGCTTGTTGATGACCTCGTTGATCTTCCTCACCATACTCTGAAACTCCTGCACCGCAAAACAACAGACGAACCAAGTTGTTTTAGTTTTAGTAACAGTTTTATGGCACTTGCAACACAATAAAGTCATATAAGTGCCCAAGATTAGAAATGTTACAAGAGAGTAACAAACATAAAAAAGAAGGAGGGGAGACAGAGACGATAGATTTTTAGTAGGAGAAAAGGAGCAAACCACACCAGAG